CCTGGAGGGGATAGGCAAGAATGATGTGCTGGGGGAAGAATGTAAGGAAAAACAACAAATTGTCATAAAGGAAGATGAAATTATCTCAGCACAAGGGGGACTGGATAGTAACCTTTGCTTTAGGAATACAGCTGCATCATTCAGTCACTGGATTGCATAAACAACCTTCCCTGAATAGTTAGTGAAGAGTAATGTGTTTTCCTGAGCTAGCCAGACCAGCGTGGGAGGGGAGTCTGTACGTGACTCAACCCAACAAAACCTCTAAAAACCAAACAACTCACAAAATCAGTTGGAAGAGAACAACTGGCTTGATCTGGGTTTAACATCCATATTCCTTCCCTGAAAGTGGGGGGAACACAGTGCCACGACGGCAAGCATTTAGAAACCAGCACAGAACATTTGTATTGTGACTTTGCTGAGTATTCCAATTGCTGTATTTGTGCTTGTGCTGCAGTTTCGGTTTGTTGTTGCATCATTCCACTAAAACAAAGTCAGGGATACATCTACAAGAACTTGGTTGGAGAATACTGGACTGCAGCTGAGGGATGCAACATGATTCCAAGGCAAAAGAAGAAACGAATACTGTAGACAAGAACTCCTCCTTGTTCTGGGTTACCTGACACTGAATTGAAGATTTCCCAGTAGGAAGTCACAATATCTTTCACAGTCTCAAATACCGAAGCACTGGTTCTGACATAGATGACCAGTATAGCCACACACCCTGAATCTTTAATGGTCACATCCAGTGAAACCTGAAAGGAAATGAGGAGCCTCACTGATTTGCTCAAGTCCTTCATGAGTTCAAAACCAAACCAAAACATGACAAACAAAAGAACCCCACCCTAATGATTGGCCAGATGGCATTCTCCATACTCCTCCCTAATTAAGAGACTAGTAGAACCAATTAAGAGGCAGAGGACAATCACTTCGTTTTAGAGGTTGCAGGAATGTGTGAGCCCAGGCCTCACAATCAGGATGAGACAGATACAGGAGAATCAAAGGATCATTTCACACAACGACAGGCTTGATACTCAGTGCTACATGAACTAATAGTGGCAGGACTGTGGAAATAATTATTGCAATAATGTAATTATGACAGTGTAATGTAACTATTCTCAAGCGAGGTGCTTGGAACATTTCCTTCTCAGTAACCTATTTAAATGCCTCTTTAATTTACCAGTATTTAAGATGACTTTCCTTGGCAACTGTTTCAAGTTATTCATAGCGGATTTAACATCAACTTCGCAACAATTTTGCCCATTTTTAAACTGTTTCAGCCTATATAACACTGTAATTGGGTCTTCTCTCCAATTTGCACAAGAAAATGATGCAGTCCTGTCAAAAGATGTCTGTACAAAGATAAAATTTCCATTGAAAGCATTGAGCAAACACAAAGGGAAATCTCTAAGAGAAACTACTGTCATACTTTTGAGTCATGTATCCTGTTTTTCTCTTTCTCATTTATAAACAAATCATTATCATGGCAAAGCATGGTAAATAACCTGCTGTGCTTAAAACAGCAGGAGTTACATACCTGAACTTGCAGTCATCAACATGCTTCAGCAGACTGTGTTTTGGTTGTTAAAATTAGACCGTAGCTCAAAACACCCCTTCCACCCTGCCAAGGCCACCTGATGAAGGTGTAAGCTGACAGGAAACAGAGAAAGTCAATAGACTAAAACCCAAAGCAGGTCTCAGGAAAGAAAGAAAGAAAGGAAAAGGGCAACTAGGAATAACTGTCTGGGTCCAGAAAAGCATGTAACAGGAGAGGTCTTCCGAAAAGCATTTAGAAACTATTGTGGGTTTAGTTTTACCGAAGTAACTACTTTGCTTTCCTTCTTCCTAAGTTAAAGCTGGGATTTGCTTTGCACTTTCCTCAGCTTCAAAAGAACTCCTTCAGAACTCCCACAGGGCGCCCATACCCCAAACTCTGTGTAGAGCTTGGAAGGAAAATGAAATCCCAGCAAGACAGAAGATTTCTTGGACATTTTAGTTTCATTAATTGGCTGCTACAGTTGTTAAGACCATGCTAGTGACAACATAGACAAGATGGTAACTGGAATCACAGGAGAAAAAAAGCCAGTGAAAAATTTCTCCCTCAGTATGACAAGAAGTAATCAAAGTATTATTTTTTCTCCCTAAAACATACCTCTGGGTATGAACTGTCCCAGTTAGACAGGGAAATCTCATACTTTGCAGAGGTATAAGGAGGTAAAAAAAAAGCAAACACTTCACATAGGTCAGACACCCCATCACAGCAAAATGGAAATTGGGGCAACAGGGGGAAGCCAAAGTGCCTCTTTTTGGAACTGGCTCCAATTACTGCCCGCTGAAGCATCAGCCCATTTCAAAACAAATCTCAAAACATAATTTAAGGATGGAGCACTTTTGCCTATTGTGCTACTTTCTGACTTCACTGAACTGTTTGCTTTACAAAATAGGCCTCAGTGAAATGCATTTAAACAAATTGTCATCTACTTCATATGAGCACAGTTGAACAACCACATGCCATTCTACCATTCTCATCCCTGCTTTTTAACTCCCAGTGATGATTTTTCAGAGAAGTGTCTGAAATTCCTGCTACTGTGCAGGTACTAGTTGTGGCCAATGCAAACAGTAAGGGATGCAGCCCTCTTTTACAGATGATTGTGTGGATGTAACAGATACCACTTGAAAAAAGAAGAGGAAATTTTAACACATGCTCAGGGAACACATTGTGCTTATTAGCCAGAATTCTTTTCCTAGCCTGGCCAGAAGCAGACAGCCTTCACCTTTTCTTTCTGTACTGCTACCAAACAAGAGATATTGTGGTATAGAGAAGATTAGGGTGCAGTGCATGAAAAGTCAGCTGCTGAAAGACAGTTAGGTGTTTCTGTGCCAGCCTTTCTTCCCTCTCTTCAGAGCTTTGTGATATTGAGAGCCCTCATGGGTCTAGTGAAGTCCACACCTAGCCCTAACATGACTGCATCAGCAGTTAACATTAATTTGTTAACAAGTTAACAAGACTTTTTATTAAAGGAAAAAAACCACAAAAGCTCCTGTAGGAGAAATCCAAGCCCATTGTCAGAATGGACTGCATCTCTTCTGAGAAAAATCCTCTGGTAATAGGAAAGCAAGCCAGTAACTGTGCAGCAGTCCCCTCTTCAACCTGGTACTTCTGAATATCTCCAGGGGAGAAATAATCATCTCTCTCAGCGGGAGAAACATTTACTTGAGTCAGCTATTAAACCAATTTCACCAACACAAAAAGCTTACAAATACAAGAACTCCTCACATCAGCCACCTATCAGCACACCATAAATTTACCTTGCAGACTTAATTTTGGCCTGCTGCTTTCCTGGAAGATTATGAAGCTAAAATACCCGAAGGAAGGGCCCAACGAGTACAGCAGCCAGAGCATAACAGGGCAGGGGCTAACAGGGATCTTTGGCCAGAGTGGAAGGAAACAGCGCTGAACATTAGGAACACGAAGTTACCCTCATACTTTCAGAAGCAGCTGACTTAAGGCAACAACTTATTGCACCCGGGGGGAGAGGATTCATTTCTCATCATTCATTCCCTGCTCTTGGCCGTGTCATTCCCTCATATCAGATGTGGCACTGCTGGCCCTCTGCCACGGGCCAAACTCGCTGCTTTAGTGAGCTGAAGTGCCCCACAGAAGAGCGCAATCAGCACCAGAGCTGGTGGGCACAAGAAGGGTGACAGTGGGAGTACCCAGCTCGATGTTGGGGGGCAGAGGTCAGAGGAGCGTGGCACTGCAGCAACTCTCTGTGCCTCAGGAGGTCAGACTTGAAATTACTGGAGAGGAAGAAGAGAGGGGAATTTTGCAGAGAAAACAGATGCAATCTGCTGTCTGGTCACACATGCCAACAGCATGGCAACAGTTTTTAAAACATCTTTGCCTTGTCACTTTTGAAATTCAGCGATTTCAAGTTTATTTTAAGCGCAAAGTGTAACAACTACAAGATTTTGGAACACTGTGAGAAAAAATCATCATCTTATACCAGGAATTACTAGGGAAAAAAAAAAAAAAAGAGAAAAAAAGCAAAATGTCATGACAGCTTTGGCGAAATCCTGGGAAAAGGAGAAAAGAAAGTAATTAAAAATACCACACGCCATTTGTGGTTTTTTAATTTTTAATCAGGTATAATAAATGTACACAAATGGAAGCATCAGCATTTTTGTTCACTTTAATTGTATGAAATGGTAGGGAAAATAGACACATGGCATGAGTGAGGTCAGAAGTATCAAGACTGGTTCGAAACATTTCAAAATGTCATGCTAACAGGATATTAAGGGAGGCTCTTAAAGCCATCATGAACAAGGCTTGTTCAGCATCAGAGTTAGAATCCACACTGCACACAAGTTTGACATAGACTGAGAAAAGCAGTCTTCCTCACGTCTAGTATATCCAGGAATTTCAGCTGTGACAACTATAATAGGGTTAGCAAGATGCCTTTTTCTCTGATTTTGAATGAATTCATTGACTAAATACATCATTAGAAAGTAAGTGCAAACTGCTGCACCACTTTGTCATGCTAAGCTCTTTCTAGAAAGAGTCTTAATAAGGCTGAAGGAGAGGCAGCAGCATTTGAGATGTTATAAACCAGTCTAGCACCAAGCAACTCCAAAGTCTAATTCCCCTAATTGCCCTTTGGTGGATGCCTTTTGGGGAGTGAAGAAAAAAAACAACAAAACAACCAAAGAAAAAAAAGAAAAAAAAAAAAAAGAAAAAAAAGGAAAATCAAAGTATACTGTAAAGAAAGTCACAAAAAGCTGACTCCCTGGATAAGGAAAAAACCTTCACTTCCTGAAGCTACTCACGGTTCACATGTGACTCAAGTGCAACAACTTAAAATGAGGGCAACACCCTACCCATTACAGCGCTTATGGGAAGGTGACACTACAGCATACTGGGGACTGTGCATTACCAGGGTACTTGTGCAAAGGAGTCTCCACGAACAGTACCCCTGATCCTGCCAACAGTTCGGTACCATACATGTTCAGTTCCGCCCCAACACTTCTCAAAAGCTGCTTCTACAGCTCTCCACCCTCAAAGCACACGTGTGTTGAGCAGCTACTCCGAAAGATGAGGTTCATTTGCATACCTCACCCAAAGGGATCCAGGAATTAGACTTTTCGCAGCCCTTCAAATGCATAGCAAACGGAGGTTGGAAGTTTTCCCAGACTGAAACGTGCATCTCACATCTATCTCTCTGCAGCACTTGTTAAAAAAGCTTGCAGATGTTGTTAGCTGACTTAATTCTGTTCTTTCTAAAAATAAGTGAAAACTACTTACTGGGGGAATCACCAAAGCCTATGTTAAATGCCTTGACAAAGCACCAGGTGTACAACCACCTCAACTTCACTCTCAGCCAGATTCAATCTATCTCCATTCCCTTTAAGCATAAGACAGACAGAGTAAAAAAAAAAAAAAAAAAAAAAATTTCTAGGTGTATTCAACTTGCATCCTTTCCTATGGTAAAGCAATTCAGATTTTGTAAATTCACTCATATTCTAATTCTGAGATGTGTGCATCTTCAATGTATTAAAAGCGTATCAAACTGAAACGACAGTGAATTAAAAATATTATCTCATTTGTACGACTGCTTATTTACTGTTTTAGAATTCTGGAGAGTCTTACATACAGAATTAGAAAGAATTTAGTTTTTAAACTAAATTTATTGGCCTACCAAAGTGAAAACTGATGTTCATGACCTCTAGGCAGGTACTTCTACGACTTCAAAATAGTCATTAGGCAGAATCACATAGCCTTTTCCTGCCAGTATGTCCTTTTCCTTCTGAAACTGAACAATCTCCCTCAGTTTTTCAATCTGTCTCTCCTGACGCCGGCATCGCTGCTGCGCCGTCTTGAGCTTCTTCCGCAGCTTCTCCACTTGCTCCTCCAGCTGCTGAATCCTTTTTCGCTGATGGACCGTATCCTCCACGGTGTAGTTATGGTCACAGAAAACGGCGAGATTGCTCGGGGTCTGGAGAGGAGGCATCAGCAATCCGATGCTGGGATCCACAAACCTGGCATCTATCTGGGACAGGTGAAAAGGAGTCGATGGGGGCGGGGGGAGCACTGGAGCTGCTGGCGGGGGCGGGGGTGGTGGAGGCGGCGGTGGCGGCGGCTGCGGAGGAGGTGGCAGAGGATCTTCTGGCTGTTCTGCAAACTCCTCAGACTAGAAGGAACAAGGGGGGAGAAAAAATCCAAAAAAAAGTCCATTTTCATGCTTAATGCTGTTTACAACAACACTCCCTCACTACACAGCCCCAAAATAACATAAGCAACTAGGATTTATGCTAATAAAATAAATTCCAGAGCCTACCTTTTCGAAACTGACAGAAAGCTCTGGGCCTGCTTCGTCTGGCTTCTCAACTGGGGATATTTTTAACTAGCTTCATTTTAAGGGCTCTTCGAAAGTCAAGCCCTTGGTGTCTCAAATAAATCAAAAACTGAATAAGGCAGCAATTGCTGTTACTTGAAGACTTGGGTCAAATAGTATTCACAATTAGCTAAGAAGCAAGACCTACACCTGCCCTCATATGTGGAAAAGTTGAGAATCACAGGTTTATAGAATGGTTTGGTTTGGAAGGGACCCTAAAGATCATCCTAAAGTCCCCTCTGCCATGGGCAGGGACACCTTCCACTAGACCAGGTTGCTCAAAGCCACATCCTACCTGGCCTTGGATACTTCCAGAGATGGGGCACCCACAGCTCCTCTGCAAACCTGTTCCTCACCATCTTCATAACAGAAAGTTTTTACCTAATATCTGATCTAAACCTGCCCTCTTTCAGTTTAAGGCCATTCCCCCTTGGCCTGTCACTACATGTCCTGGTAGAAAGTCCATTTTCAGCCTTTTTGTGGGCCCCCTTTAGGTTACTGGAAGATTGCTATGAGGTCTATTCCTCAGGATGAACAGCCCCAACTTTCTCAGCCTGTCTTTGTAGGAGAGGTGCTCCATCCCTCTGACCACCTCTGTGGCCTCCTCTGGACTCACTCTAACAGGCCCATGTTCTCCTTACGTTGCAGGGATCCCGAGCTGGAGGCAGGGCTCCAGGTGGGGTCTCACCAGAGCAGAGCAGAGGGGCAGAATCCCCTCCCTTGCCCTGCTGGCCACACTGCTTTGGGTGCAGCCCAGGATACAGCTGCCCTCATGGACTGTGAGCACACACTACCCTGCCATGTTGAGAAACAGGACTGCGTGGCTGGCAGATGGGATGGAGAAGGGAGAAGCACAGTCCTCCCTTTTAGCAGCAGCAAAATATCAATTGGCTCAACTCCACCTCAGCTTTTTTTGCAGGTAAAACTGCAGCTTTTATCACATTTCTCTTGATAGGTTCACTTGTAGAGTTCAGGACAACACAGATCCCTCACCACTTGAGTTTAGGCCAGAGCAGAGAATCAGATTTTTCCTTCCCCAGAGGAACGTAGTATAATTCAGATATGCTTCTGTGCTCATGATGATTAAAAAAGCACTGTTAAAACAGAAGAGCTTGCATATCGCCTGTTAAAAAGAAAGCTTAAGACATCCTCAGTGAAAGAGGCACTGAAACAATTTTCTACGTATTCACCTGTTGCTAATATTATTATTATACAGAAAAGCTAAAGGACAGGGAAAATGTTGATTTTAAAAAGAGTCAACAATCCTCACCATCCAAATATCAAGCTCACCAGATCTGAAGGTCATGTCATTAACTTCCTTGACTTCACATGCCAAAGGGGCAATATTTGATATTCAGGGGTCTACCCATCCCTCATAAAAACTACAACACCTGGCAGATAGCAGCTGAAAAGGCAGTTTGGTGACTGGTTTTGAAGGGAAGTTTCACATGCACTCAAATATAACTGATCACATAAAAGCACAAAACCAGCCCACTACCAGTCTTATTTCTCAGCCATAAGCAACTGCTGCTGTTATCCTACCTAAATCACTCATGAATATTCCAAAGGGATTGACCCTATCAGCTGCCTCTCTCACGTTTTTCTGCTAAAAAAAAAAAAAAAAAAAGCCACAAAGTGAAGATGTAACTGGCAAGGAGAAATTCATTCTTGATGGAAACAAAAGCAAAAATCAGATCACTGCTGGACTGCTGAAGTCACACAGAGACTTTTACTTGCAGCTACCGAACACGTGCTACCTCTACAAACGTGTTAATATTGTCAAAATGTACCACAGAGAACAGCTGGTATCCCTGAGACATCAGGGAATTCTAATTACTTCTTACAGCCAATAAATGGTTTTACTAAGACCCAAAGAGAAAGGAAGTATACCAAGCTACAGAGCGCAAAAGATATAAACCTGTACTTCAAAATCAGTGTGGATTCAATTCCAAAACAACCACTACTGTTTTTTGTTCCTACACTGTTACTTGAAGATACGTGGCAGTTTATTTAAAGTCCCATGAGACAAATACGAATAGAACTAAATCCCTCATAATTAAAAGGCACGCCACTGTGTTTTTGGAGACCCAGGCATGACAATGAAATTGGGAACATGGCTCACTACTAATCCTCCTGCACCAACTGCACTTTTGCAGATTACCCTGTACACCCACTCAGCTTTCAGACTGTGAAAAAATTTGCAACTATTTTACACTCAATGAACAAAGTGTGTTTATTACAGATAAGCAGGGAAGTGTAATCAAACAAAAAAACACAGCCAGATTTACCTGTAAATTACCTGATTCCTTATACACATTCTGTTTATATTCTCTCTGCTGTTATGAGCCACTTTTCATTTTTCAAATACATTGCCTTTTTACTTCTGCATCAATACAACATTGTATATAAGAGATAAGTCTGAGTTCTCTGTGCACTTCATCCCATCACATTCTGTTGCTCCCTAGACCTATTGTATTTACCATTCTCTTCTTTGTCACTTCCACAGTGGTGGAGTGACGAGATATCAAATATTTTATATCCTTTAGAGGAGTTAAGAATCAATCTTTCCCTTTTTTGTCTTGCAGGTTCTTGCAGCTATCAAGAAGGAAGAACTCATAACTGACTTGCATCTCATGGTAAACTGCTTTTGTGGCACAGTGAAGGGAAGAACACTTCTCACAGGAGATTCTACCATCAGAAGTCAGGGACCAGCCTGGCTTTTGACCCCAAGCTTCAGGCAAGACAGAGGTGGTTTCAGGACAGACAGATAGTAGATGCAGGTGAGGTTCTGCCCTTCTTTATACCTCACTTTAACTCTACAAATCCAGAGGGCAGAGCCTTTTTGAGGGGACAGTTAACTTTGGTAGTTAACACCATCATCTCTTCAACGCTAGCAGCAGCCATCAGCCAAGGTGTGACATTTGCGAGCACCACTGAAGGCTCCCTCTTACCCCAAATATGCCAGAAATACTGCTGAACAACCTAACTACAGGGCAACATCTTCTTACTTTGCTGCCATTCCATGTGATTCAGCATCCGTGTGCTGAACAGACTCAGGAGCTGCTCAGAGCTGCCTGTACAGCCTCTCTGCGCTCCATAGCCTGGGACAGCTCACACCTCTACTCCCGTCAGCACCAAGGAGAACAGCTGTTGGCTAAGTTTCGGCCACCACAGCCCTCCTGGTGTCATTCACAGGCTCAGCATCCTTCCCAGACCGCATCCTCTCCCCTCCTGCTGCCCTGCCGCGCTGCCAAAAACGCGCGCTGTGGCACCTGCGGCCACGGGTGCCTCGGGTTTACCTTTTCACCGGGCTCGGTGTAACAGAATATTGTGGGCACCGCATTCTCCTTCAGGAGCTTGTTATTGCACTCCCTCTTAAAGCAGTCGGGGGTGAAGTGTTCTGAGCAGATGCTGCTGTACTTGGTCGGCTTGAAGTTTTTCCTCTTGACGGCGGCTTCCCACTTCTTGCAAAGATCGGGTCTCGTGAGAGGAAACCTGAAAGTAAAGAGGCACTTTCAGCCTTTCCTCGGGAGCTTCGTCAGGCGAGGGGGGGGGTCACGGTCAGAGCCGAACCCAGCGAGGGGGGGGTGGTCTCATCCCTCTCCGAAAAAGGCGGCTCAGAGGGTCCCGTCCCTCGGCTTTGCCAGGGAGATACCCACCTCGGGAGGAGCGGGCGAGGCTCCCCTCACCTCAGCGGCCGCGGGCGGACGGACGGACCCGCCTGTCTGTCTGTCTGTCCGCCTGTCTGTCTATCCGTCTGTCTGTCCGTCCGCCGACTCGAGCGCGCTCCCGCCCCCTCCCCGCGCGCGCCCCCGCGCCGGCCCCGCCCCCGGCGCGCCCCGCCCCGCCCCGCCCGCGCGCGCTCACTTGTGGAAGGAGATGGGCTTCTCTTTGTCGTATCGGTTCCGGCAGCGGTAGGCGGAACACGACTGCACCATCCCGCCCGGCCCCGCGGCCTCGGCGGGCGCGGGGCGAGCCGGCGGGGCGCCGCGGCCTCAGCGGCGGGCGCGCATCGCTCCTGCCGCCCCCCGCGGGCCCCCCCGCGCCGCGACCCTCCGGACAGGGACGGAACGGGACGCGCGGCCTCTCCCAACTCCAAGATGGCGGCTCCGGCTTCAACGCAGACTCTCGCGGTAGCTGCGCGCGGCGCGCTCCGCCCATTAGGAGAGTCGGCGCTCGGGGCGGGGGCGGGGCTTGTCTCGGCGGGCCATCCAATCGGGGCGCGTTCTGCCCAGGCTCCGCCTCCTGCGCGCGGCTGTGCTCCTCCCTCCCCCTCACATCTGGGCAGGCTCCCCCCCCCGACACACACACATCTGGACGGTGTCGCTCGGCCCCACCCCACACCCACATCTGGGCAGGGCCTCCCCCCTTCACATCTGGGCAGGGCCGCCCAGCCCCCCTCGCATCCACATCTGGCTAGGGCGGCCCGCCGTTTCCCCCCATCCACATCTGGCCAGGGCCGTCCTCCCCCTTCCCCCCCCTCATCTGGGCAGGGCTGCGCGCCTGCCCTCTCGCCCTGCTGGGCACAAGCCCGGGCGGAGGCCCCGCAGAGGCCGTGCCCGCAGGGAGGGAGACCCGTCAGCGGCTCCTCCGCCCGCTCCGGGCCCGGGCCCGCGGTGCTCGCCCCGGCCGGCAGGACAGGGATGCGGACACAGCGCGGCAGGAAGAAGTTGGTGCTGTGAGCCCCGCGGGAGGTTCTGACTGCCTTCGGGAAAACAAAAACCCACCAAACAAACAAAAAACCCAAACAAAAGCATAAACCAAAACAAAACCAACCAACCAACAAAAAAAAAAAAAAAAAAAAAAAAAAAAAAAAAAAAAAAAAAAAAAAAAA